ATCAAAAAAGTAGCTAAGAAAGACTAGCACCCTGAGTCACCTCACTTTTGCACCCTTTCTACCGTAAATAATGCATAGATCCCAGTCTCACTTACATTTGCAGACATGGTTTGCAGCTACAGAGAGAGCACAGGCTGCAGGATGACACCTGTACACCTGCATGTCCTGAGACATTTTCTGTACCACAGTCCAGTCCTTTCCTTAAGGTAACTCCAGACAGCAGAAGCAACCTGCACTTACTCACATGTTTGCAATACTTAAAGCAAAATGGCATGACCATCGGTCTGCACCTGTTTCTAGGACAGAGAGGAAAAAGGGAGAGATAGGTATCGACTCTGGCCTAAAAATTTACATGTGTATAAGCTTGTGAAGAATGTTAGTGTGTGAGAGGGACTAGAGGATTGAATGTCCTTTGTTCAGCATAAATGTCCCTTTGTCTACTGAGAATCAAGGCAGGGGAATCAATTGCTGAAGAACCCAAACTTGGCTGATAGAAGATACCCCACGGCAGCCGAGAGTTTCCCTTGGGGTTGATAAAGCAGAAGCAAACAGGATTTTGTATGCCTTTTGTAAATAACCCCACATCTCCAAACTACCTTTTCCCACCACTTTTTTCTTAACAAACAACCCATAATGCTCAGTGAGGAACAGCTGGGTGGTAATGTCACCTCTGTCTTCCACAAACTGCACTGCAAAAACATATCTTAAAAATGGGCTTGGCCTTCCCTTGTCTGCAGACAGAGAAAGATGCGAGTAATGCAAACATCAGCTGCAGTAGATGTCTATGAGAAACACCATCTCAGTTCCTTCCCTGTGCTAACCTGCTAGATTTACGTCAAGCCAAGGATTTAGGAAAGCTTGAGTAACAGGTGGAGACACACTGCCTGCCAAAAGAAAAAGCCCTGCTGATATAGCTGTACATTTGCTTAGGAGCCTGTGCTTAATTCTAAGGATAATTAGGATCAGCCCAGAGCCAAAGTGGATATAAATAGCAACCAAAACCTGCTAGTATCTTTCCTCCATCAGCTGGGCCATGAACTGTTTGGCAAAAGGGACTCTTTGTGATACTAACAAGTCCTCTGATCAATCACAGCATATCAGCACTGACTCATGCAAGCTGCAAAGGGGTTTTAAATGCCAGGGAGAGCTGGTCTTTTGTATTCTGGCAGCTCCTCACTGCTGCTTTATACCATTCCCTCTCAAATGAAGAGTCTGGAATAAATGCAAAAAAAGGAAGAAAATAAAAAGGAGAAAATATGTCAGCTGCTTCACAGTTTTTAGTGCTCCCCTGGAGCTTAATTATGTGGGAACTGTGATATGCAGTCTGTCAGCTGGAAGGTGGCAGATCCCTGTGGCACAGTTTAAAAGGTGTGTTGTGAAATACTGCTCCTTTGCTCTAGACCTACAGATACTGTACGGCATGTTCTGTGCAAACCACAGGTTCCCACAGTTGTGTGTGGGTTCGTCACGTTTCTCACCTGTGGTGTCTGTGGCAGTGTGCTCCTGGATTCAGCTTCCAGCATCCCCATGCACGCTGTAGTTTGATTCTCCAGCTAGCAGAATGGCATATAAATATTTCTATCTTTACCAAATAAACAAACTCACTTGTGTTAGCTTCCTGCTGCTCTATAACTCTAAACCACACACAGGGCTCAGTGATCAACATCATAAGCTTACAAATTTTTGGTCCCTAAGTCAGGACTATAGCCATGGGAGATGGTGTATTGTCCCTTAGGAATGCAATAAACAGCTCTTCAGCATAATTCTGAAATTAAGCAGTGCAGAGACCATCTTCCAGAATATATTTTCAAATGTATTGCATAATTTTCCCTGTTTTTATTTTTTTAAATCATAAGCTTTGGAATCATTAATTTCTAAGGCTCTCTTGTATTGGCATCTAGCTGCCACAACGAAAGAAAACGACAGAAAATTTCCTGTCTCAGTTTATATTTTCCACTTGCAAACATTCATTTCATTCTCAGAATTAATAAGGAACAGCTTCTTCTTCTTCTACTACATGCAGGAGGTGCCTTCATAAACTTGTCACATCCTGATGTTAGCAGCATATGGTATTGAAAATATTCCTACTGCTTGGAGAGAGAGCTGTTACAAATACTTCAAGCAACTGTTTGATAATTTTGGATCCAATCCTACACTGCACCAATATTTTTCTCATGCTTTAACACCTAACTGTATAATGAAGATGACCCATGAAGTTTCATAAAGGATGAGTTAGACCATAGATTTTTGGGACCTTTAAAATAACATTTCATTTCAAATAGCATGTGCGTAAAATAGAGTCTGGTTCTTTCTCCTTCCTTTTACAAAGCAGAGAGGAGCAAATCCTCATGTTTTTTTGTGATACCATGAAATAAAGGAAGATCTATGCTGCACATGAAGAAAATCAGCCTGTCTTGCTTCACAGCTCGAGGAATATAGGCTGTGCCTTACAGAATTGAGATATACTTCCTGCCCTGGCTGCCTTGTAAGTTGAAACACAACAGTACAGAAAACAAGAGATGAGAAATTGGAGTTTTAAGAATAAGGCCAGAAGGCAGGTCTTCTCAGGGATTCGATATGGAACTGGCATCAGAAGATAAAACTGGGCAGATGAGAGCAGAATTAGCCCTCCAGATATACTGGGCAACAGCGTATCTCAGATGGGGTCAAAGAGGGGCAGGATCACAGCCCTGGAGGAATACATGGAGTTCAATGGTCTTCTGCCATGAGGAAACTATCTCTTATCTGCTCCCTCAAAAGAATGCTCTAAGTGTCTCTGGGTAGTGTACTGCCATCCTGGCTCGCTTTCCCAGACGACTGAACTGGAACTGGGAAATGGCGTAGCTACTGGTATTCAACTAGTTGCTCGGGTGAGGGAGAGTAGAGAAGATAACTGGGTGATTTTATGGCATGCTGGTACAGTAGTTTATCGGGGCCTCCTGCAGCCCTCTCCCTCCTCTCATTTTCTAGATGATAGATCATGTGTTTCTACTCATTCCTTCACCCTGGACCTTTTGCCTACCCTTCCCAGTGCCTGTCTAGCCACAGCTTCTTACTGTAACGGCTGACCACTGCCTGGTCTCTGCCTACTTGTTTTTGCAATGTATCTGGGAAGGGTAATGTTTCATACTTGACAGAAGGGGAGCTCAAGTGCAGAAGAGCTCATCTCCAGTCACACAGGAAATTTTGTGGCTAGCAGCGAGTTGAATGAGGATTTCCATGATTAAAGTGACATCCTAACTTACTGGCTATAACTCTGAAGCCATACGTCGTTAGCACTGAAAGCTCCAGGGATTTCAAACTGAAACGTATGCCATTAATTTTCCACAATATGTGCTATCTTACAACCATCTTGCTTCCCCTCCTTCTCCCTGAAATCATAAGACTTTTGTTATTGGGGTCAAATCTACAGACAAACCTACTTAATCCAATCTGACTGTTAAAGCCTTGTGCAAAACAACACAGATAACAAGGAAAAAAGGAATGCTCAGCTTGCTCTGAAACTTATTTCCAAAATAGCGGCAGCTAAAGAATACAGTTATGGCATGCATGAAAAAGTAACTGAAGATGTTCTCGCTTGGAAAGCCTCAGGGTGAAAAATTAAGGCAAGGCAGGTAAATTGAGAGATGCATATGTTTAGCACATTTCCTATCTTGCCTTAATAATGCTGTACTCTGAATGCAGCAGCACACACTGCTTCCAGTCTTTAACTATCCAGCCAAACATGACCATTAAGCATATTCAGGAGAAAATAGAAACGTGAGAAATATAGTATGACATCTTGTAGAAAAGACACACAGGAAAAACAGAGGGCAAATCCCAGGCCAATCAAACAAGAAACATGCTGCATAAAACACAGTAGATACAACACAGAAATCAGAGAGGTGAAAGAACTGCTTTAAGCAAAATCTAAGAGACAAATACCCAACATCCTTCCCCCACATGTTGTCAGATTTTTGGTTTCTGTTCTTGAAATCTAGGGCAGTCAGAATAACCAAATTTTGATACTTCCTTAGGCCTAGCTAGACCAGATGTAATCTAGCTCTCAGATGAAAGATCTGCCAGAGAACAACAAATACACAAAGATGACTGTTAACAAAATCTTTTGCAGGGGCAAGTTGACCTGATATATTATTGTGAAAAGAAACAAAGGGATGGAAACACCAACATAATTTGTATTCAAAGCAAAGAGTATGCACAAGGATACCACAGGAACTTGGGATAAGAGTCGTACCAATCTTTCTGCCTCTACTTTTGTTCCTAAAGCATTCTATCTGGCTTTATTTTTGGCACAGATGGCTTTATCTTTTGTCCACAAATTACACTTGAAAAGAATCATGTATTTTAGGTTTCACTTAGATTTACCTCTGATTGAGAAATTAACTTTTTCAGTCATGCCATATGGCAGCAGTATTCAGTTGTGTGACATTATTACAAGACTTGTGGTGTTTTTGAAAGACGAGGTATCCAGTGTAAACACTGACCAAGCAGTGAAAATAACAGCTGAAATTCAGTTAAAAGCATACAAACAAGTAAGAAAACAACCAACTAGCTAACATTTCACATTCAGACATCTAAAGTTAATCACCTAGAATAAAGGTTGCATATGGATGCATAGATACTGTCTTTAGAAGACCCTTAACCACAGTTTCCATGAGAGGTGGGTAGCCTCAGAAAACTCCAGAAGTTACTGTTTCTCAGCTACAAAGTAAGTAAAAGCTACAGTGACAAAATCAAAACACGGAGATTTCCTGGGGCCTTCTCTCCTATTTTCTCAGCCTCTCTTGGCTGTATTAATCATGTCAGTTAGGACAAATTTCCTACTTCCACCATAACAATCATTTTGAGTTACCTGAAGAAACTGTAGAGCAGCTAGAGAAAGCTAGGTCAATATGGATACTTGAGATAAAGTATGGTGTTTCCTCAGGAACAACGTGATATTGGAAAATTGGTGTAAGCTACGCCAAAACTAGAAAGGCAAAATATTAAACACAGATTACCTGAGCGCCTACTCTGAAAGCAGCTTCCACTTGAGCTTTAAGGATGTTGCACTTCATATGGTCAGGTACAGAGGAAGGTGACACAGGGGCATGAAGAGTCTTTTCAGACACTTTCTTGTCTTCACCCTAGATTTAATATAAAAGACAAGCACAGTGATATACATCAGAAAGGTAAGTTAAAATGGTCACGGGTCAAATTCTTACTTGTAACAACTTGATTCAGCAATACTGGATAAAACCCCCACATTCATACCCTGATAGATACAGCTTACAATAAAAAGTTTTCAAAATATTTAATGACGTGATACTATTTTCAAGACAAAAAAAGCCTCAGGGAAGCCTGAGTACTAGAAGCAAGAAACTGTTATGGGGTAAAGATACATGGGAAAACCCAGCCAGGCCCCGGAGTGGTTGCCCAAACCTGTGATCACACTGAAAAAGGAAAACATTGTCCCAAAATATCCCACAGCAGGCAGAAGAAAGCAAAGTTGACAGCACTCCACTACAGTGAACACTGGTTTCTTACATCACTCTAAGCATGTAAAGGGGTTTTGCAAATTTCACCAGAGGGATTTGAAGGGATCTCCATGTAATTGCAAGCCAAGCAAAATCTCCTTCATCAGAAAGGAAAATCCAGGGTGTTTATACATTGTTGCTGCTGTTTCCACTCGATATCAATCCCTTACCTATGCAGTGATCTGGATCAGAAATCTAAAGCCTCAAGACAGCTAGTTTAGTGACCTATTCAATCACGACCTAAAGGTTTTGTGCCTTGAACAAACAACATCCAGCAGAAACGCCAGCATGAATAAACTTCTCATGCAGAAAAGAACAAAAGGAAAAAGAAAACAGACAATGTAATACTAATGCACAAACAAATAGGGTATGAATGAGACAAGGACTGTAAATGTGAACTCTTAACTAATCAAACTATAGTATCTTATGCATTTTTAAAGACGAATTGGGCAATGGTAAAACAGCCATAACAGACCTGAACCACAGCCTAGACTGTGCATTCATTTTCCACTCTCAGTGCTGCGAAGAGCAAGTGGTTGTATACACCTGAACAGAACAGATACGTGATGCTGCCATCCATATTTCAGCTAAAACAGGTACAAGATATCAGTAAACCAGGTCCAGTGCATCCTTGAGATTCACCTCTGGCAAAGTATTTCAAGACAGAACCGGCCATTTTTTAGGCACTGAAATTACTATATGATTAGCCCTTTAACTTCAAAGCCTGCCTCCTTTATCCTTCCTTCTGCCCTCGCCCATGACATCCCACTTGCTGACTGTAACTACAATCTTACCCACTCTTCTCTCAGGTCCACGAACAATCGCAGACAAAAAGGAATGTCAAGATTTGGGGGACACTTTCTGCAAGTGGAGTAAATCACAAATGCAATTACGT